TTAAAAAAATGGGGGGGGGGGGGGGGGGGAAGCTGGGAGGGGCACACAAGCATTTTTAGGAGGAGCATGTGCTCTCCACACACCCCCTACATACGCCACTGGCTATATACTCTCATGACAACACTGTAAACCAAGCTTTTCTTTAAACATTTAAACCCAAACATCTGTGCAGAGAATGTTTACCCTGCCTTTCTTTAAACCTAAACATCTGTGCTTTGAAGATTTGGTGATGGTTATCGGTAGAGGTTGTGAGGATTACCAAGGCCTTGTAACAGGAAGCTCATTTCCTATCAACCTTACAGTGTGCATTCTACTCAGTTGAAAATTAAATCAACTTTTACTGATAGTAACCACACCTACTATGATTTGCTGTAGTTGTCTATAATGATGGGGTGTATCATTCATATGAAACGTTGTGTGCCCATATACAGTCATGATGTGCCTATATATGGTCATGTGATGTCATCATCACCAGATTTACAGTAGGCATGTAATCAAATGTTTTTGTTAAATACAATTTGATAGCCTAGACAGGGGTTAACATGGAACTAGAAAGATATTTTTTTTCTAGAGGGGATTTTTTATATGTCACTAGTAATAGAATCAACTTTAAAATCGTTTCTTGGCAATTTTTTATGAAGCTTTCGGCCATTACGATTTGCCCCTTTAGCGGCGTGACGTCAGTGTACCGCTGTAACCAAAAATCGTATGGCGGGGCCATACGATCTTTGGTTTACAGTTGCCAAAGGGACAAAATTGTAAATATCCTAAAACTTCATAAAAAATTGGCAAAAAAAAAAAATATTTTAAAAGTTGATTCTATTACTAGTGACATATTTATAATTCCCTCTAGGAAAAAAAATCATCTTTCTAGTTTCCTTTTAAAGTTTTTGCCAGTTGATTTAGGCCAAAGTAATACTGATTCTACACACATTTGCCTTTGTTGGTTCTATGCCAGTAACCACCAAGATATACAAGATAGATATATCAATGTAAATTTTCCGGATAAACATTTAATTGCTGGCCTAAGCAATAAGTTCTATTTTTAAATCATTATGGGATGCTTGAATTTCATTTTAAAGTAGAGTGTGATGTGAAAACAACTCAATAACTGTTTCGGTGATATTAACAAATCTGTTCTGTTTCAGTGTATTTCCAAACAATGTTCGATTATCATGCTATCTATTTAATTATTTAATATAAACAGGAGTGAAAGCAAAATCATAGCAATATCTAAACTGTTGAAGTCAATTGTTATAATTTCATAGAAACACAAATATTAATATTGAGTAGCACATGAAGAAAAATGGCGCAGACAATCAAAAAGTTTTCTACTGAAGTGTTAAATAACAGCGAAAATATTTACAATTCAGACCAAATCTTAGCAATGAATTAATAATCATGTTCTATATGTCCTGAAATGCAATAATTATATTTATCTTTTATACACATTATTTATAATTTTAAATCTATTATCATTGTCCAGTAATACTAAACTATTATTATGTCAAATAATATAATAAATAATTGACATTTGTATATAATCAATATATTTAACAAACTTCCCATTTAGCCAATACTATTCAGCAGAATCCCTACTGAGGAGACACACTTCGGGCTAAAAAAGTGTCCTCTTAGGGATTTTATAAGTTGGCTGTAGTGTTAAAAGGTATACTTTCATTTGTATAGTGGCCAAAAGTAATCAAATAGGGGTGACCCTTAATAGGGGTGTCCCAAAGGTGGGGTCAACTGTAATTATGACATTTCCTCTTATTTTCAATTTCCTGAAAATCTCAAGTGTAATATTATGACAAACCTTATTGGATAATCCAGTGGGTACCTCTGTGTCGAGCTTTGGCGGGTTCACAATCATCTCCTCGGCCAGCTGGATAGCTAGGTGATACGCGTACCATGAATGGCCGTGTACATACAGAGCCTCTGCGTGATTAAACTGTATCTGATAGCAAACATTAAATCAAAACAAAATTTATTTTCTTTAATTTTACATCCTGTCTGTCAGATTAAAGACAATATCTGATCATACTTCAATAATGTATGCCCACAATGTGCCTATATATGGTCATGATGTGATGTCATCATGACCATATTTAGGCATGTAACATGTTTTTACCAAATAAAATTTTAGAGTTTGAACAGAGCTTAAAGGTATCCAGACTATAACATTTTGACAAAAAACTGCTGTATCCTTTTTGTTTTAGTATATTTGAGAGGGTTAACCTTTTAGCATATCCTAGGAGGTCGGCTGATATTCAGGGCCATCTTTTAAATAAATGAAATGTGATGCTTTTATCAGGGAAATCTCTTTATGAGGCTTAGGGAGTGGCTATATATGGTCATGATATTATATCATCATGACCATACAGTATTTAAGCATGTCGCATGTATTTTTTTGTCAAATATAATTTGATTGTCTGATCAAACAAATAATGTCTTTTCATTGGATGCCAGACAATGCTTGGAAGCTCTGACCAGACTATCAACTTTTATTCGACAAAAACGTGTTACATGCCTAAATATGGTACATCATGACTATATATGGACATACAACAGAATTTGGTTAAAGAAAATTTGATAGTGTGGATACTGCATTACTTTAACAGACAAATTTTGAGAGTTAATTCCAAACTACAACAAAGGATGATGTTATCGGTTGACAACTTGACTTCCTGCTCCACAACAGTACAGGAGATTGGATGAGAAAAAAAATATTAAGTACCTAAATCTAAAAAAAAAACATATCAACATACTGCATGAATTCAACAATAGCTATAATTATTATTAAGATAAATGTTCAACATGAAAAACAAAACATTTAGTCCTAAAAATCTAACCATCCTCTCAAAGTGTAATGGGCTGTTGGCTTTTCATGTTGAACATTCATCATAATAATTATAGTAATTGTTGAATTCATGCAGTACTGTAATTGGTTTTTTTTTTTAGATTTTACTACCAATACTTTTTTTTTCTCATCCAATCTCCTGTACTTCATCACGATAACAAATCAAACATTGACAGTTGAAAACAACAGTTTAAAAAGCTGATAATTAATCAATAACTGAGCACTGATCATTATAAAAGTGATGTAAATGCTTGGTTTCCATACAATTGCTATATGTTATACAGCTTTCCGTGATGCTGATTGGTTGGTCGAATCGGGGAGCCTTCCCAACTGCTCGGGGGGGGGGGGGGATTCTCAAAATTAGTTTACCTATGTTTAAATTTAATATTCAACAAAAAATTGGATATTACTTGTGAAATAAAAATTACATGAAAAATCTTACCTGCATCTTATCTTCGATTTTTTTCACATTGTTAAATGGATTGCAAACTTCATCTTTTTTCTTCTTTGGAGATTCTTGAACCTTTGACTTTGTATCGTAAAAGTACACATTTAATTCCTCAGCCACTTTTTTTCCCTCTGGGGCTGCAGCTGCTGCAGCACCTGCTGCAGTTGCTGCAGCAGCATCCTTAGGATCTGCATTTAATGCAGCAGCGACTGCCAAGTTAGATGCCTCGACTCGATCATTAGAACCATCAGAGTCTGCATCATTTTTTTGTTTAATTCCTAAATTCTTCTCTGGAGAGTTTTTATCTGAATGTTTACTTTTGTTCTTCCGTCGGGCACCGTGGTCTTCGTTTGCGGATTCCGACTCATCATCACCCTCCAAATCATGCGATACTCCAACTGACTGCGAAATGTTTTCCGTTTCATCGCCACGTGAATCGGAACTGTCAACAGCAATAAAGTCTGAGTCGCATTCTTCAGATTTCTGGCGATTCTGAGATAATTTTGCCGCGTGCTTTGTATCATTGGAATGCAAGGAATCGGAGTCTTTCATAAGGTATGAACATTCTGGAGAGGCCTCTAATGGATGTTTATCAGTCTCATTGCAAACATCCTCTTCTGACCTACGTTCTGAGTATGTCACACCTTCAATAGGAAAGTCGTTCCAATCTTGAAGGCATGCCTCTATAGCTGGTTTAAATCCAGCAAAAACGTCCATGTCAACTTTACGCACATTTGCCCCACCTCCTCCGACTCGCCGACCTTTCTTTGAACTTTCAATAACCTGCAAATGCCATTTACGAAACTCTGAATCAAGTTCTTTACGCTGCGCAGGTGAGTTAGCAGGATTTAATGCGGCATAACGCCAAAGAGTGACAATCTCATCGCACATACTGGCGCATGAATGCTGGTTCTGCATCGACGAGCTGTTGTTATTATGAGCACGGTGTCCATGGTTACCATGATGAGAGTGAATAGCTGATGTTCGTATACTGAACCACCATACAACAACCTAAGAAAAGCAAATTAAGGAATATGACTAAACCTTAGGCGATATCTACAATAAGAGTAGATTTTAAAGATATTCATGGGGGTTAATAAAAGGTGGGTGGAGAGCCCAGTGGAGAGCAATGAAATTATCTTTAGACTAGGTGGCAACTCTCTAAGCTGGGTGGCCTGCCCACCATAACTACATCCCTGCTGATCTTGACTAAAAATGATGATGATAAATGATAACGATGACGATGACGAGGATGATGATGATGACGACACAATGACAAAGATGATGACAATGGATGATGTTTATGAAGATGATGATGACGCCAACTCTCCTCTTTAAAATGTTTACAACCATATGAATCATGTTAAATAATATCATTTTTTTTCCCTTAATGTAAATGGTAGGTATATCCCAATGGAAATAGGACTTTATTTTCCTTTACAACCTACCATCTAATATTTTGGAGTAAATCAGAATAAATAAATAAAATAAATGTATTTCAGTGTATTTGTCTGCATAAATATCAATAATGATGAATAGAGCAAAAATAATAATATTCTACCAAAGTTTGACTAACTTCCTATAGGCTATGTTCAGACACAACGACTTACGCTAGCGTAACGTTAATCGAGTGGTGCAAACGCCAGTAATATCACGCAATCACTGGCGTACGGTAATCCTGCAACAGACCCCAGATTAGCGTACGGCATTGATTTACGACATTCACGTATCAGTGAATTTGAACTCGGACAGGATTTGACCAATCAAAATAAGCCTAGAAGTTAACTGGAAATAAAATTCGCAAATTACGAATACGAATTTTTTTCGCGCGAATACTTACGCTAGCGTTCGTTAATCACACAGTCTGGACATCTCGCTAGTTGCTAGTTACGCCATGGATTAACTTATGCCCGGCGTATCTCTCAGGTCTGAATGTAGCCTAATTAAACCTACTTGTTCACACGAGATGCATTCTTCAGTGAGTATTTTCAATAGAAAGATCGCATTACTATCACGTCTTCTGAACAATTCACGAATAATTGAGAGTAGATTCCAGACTCCCTCTGGCTCGCGCCCCCTCAAGGGTCGTAATAAATTGGTCCACTCCGCTGAGGCAGCAGGGGCTGGATTTGATAGGTATAGAGAATTTACATCACTGCAAGACAATAGAAAATATTATGCAAAAATAATCCCACTTTACTATCAACATTAAAGCAACACTGAAAAATACAGGGTAAATATATGATAGGTATGGAGAATTTACAAAACTAGACAATGGAAAGTATTGTTTAAAATAATTTCATTACATAATACAAATTAATCAATAACAAAAGGAACTGGGAAACACATTAAATGCATCTAGATACCAGCAAAATACAATGAAAGTCTTGTATGGAATAATCATTAAGGTGCTGCTAAACTCAGTAGCCTCCATCCAGGGTTCCAATGTAAAAGAAGCCACCTCAGAGAAATTGAGTTTTATTTCTCATTCTCAAGTTCATATTTAAGCTTTCTTAACAGCCTTTACTGAATTCTGCTGTATGCAATGATACCAAAGACAATTTAACTAGGAGGCAATTGTTAATACAGTAATAGTAAAAATATGCAAAATACCCTGATTTTGAAGAGGGTTGCTTACATTACGGTAGTTTTCAAAGAAATTTTTTCTTGGTTGTGGGAGTCCATAAGACTTTACCAATTTCTGATTTACAGGAGAATTTTGTTGTTTAAAAAGAATGTATTTTTTTTTATAATAACTTAAACTTTAAATGTACAATGAGAAGTATTAGAAATTCAAATATTCAGTTTTATTGTTCAAGTTGAGATTTTTATGATCCGGGAGTATACAATACTGTAAATAAAATTTAAAGGTGATATTAAATTATTATTATTCTTTTTTTTTAATGGAAAGTATTTACAGAAATAGAACAATACTTGAGTGCTAACTAAATACATTCGAGCCAAATGAAAAAAATACCATAATAATCCTCATCTCATCATCTCAGATAGAACGTTTGATGAAAGTGCAACCAAACAGTGTCTGTGACCTCCGAATGTGTAATTTCCTTAATGGCATTTCTTAATTTGTGCATAATACTACCAGGCCTTGACACTGTCCTACAGCCTATATTGGCCTAAATGTGCTCTCCGATGTGGTACTCGGGAAATAAATGCGCATATCTTGCCTCTAGCTAGCATGCTACAGTACAACTGTTAAATTACAGTAAACGTGAGAACCATTATCACCAACCTAAATACAAGTGGACCAGGTCCGCAAAAGCGTAATAACGTCTTCTTGATGTTCTCATGTAACAGGCTATCGTCAAGATACCATTGGCTGGACTCAGTGGCAGGGGGTCCCGCGGTAGGATCCGGGGCACCACGCACTGTGTTAATAGTATTCGCTTGAGAGGATAATAATTCGTCTAGTAATCGCTGAGCTGTAGGTAGAATCTGAATAATACAAAAAAGTTAGTGAATATTAAGCCTGTTAGCTGATTAAACATATTCTGCGTGCACTTTAAAATGATAAAATATTGTTTAACTTAATATTGACAGAGAGTTGCATAGATTGGACTCCACTGGCTTAAAAGCAAGGAGGAGAGGGAAACAAAAAAGCAGATTGAAGTGAGACCAAAAGTATTTTTATACATAAAATTATTTTTTATTTATTAAACATAAATGAAGATTTACATAATTTTTATATTAAGTACAGTATTAATAATAATCAATAAAAACATATCCTTTTATACAAGCTCTTTTTAATTATTCTGTTACTTTTATACTTTCTGTTTATTTTCATTAGAAATATTCTTTTTTGATTGTCAAGTTTAAACATTGAATATGGTGCAAATTTCAGCCACAGCCTCTCAACCGCAGCCTATTTCTCCCATTGCAAAAGTGGCCCGCCGATTTACATCATAGCTTTCTCCTGCACAGGGGACCAGGTTGAGTTTTGATGCCTGAAATGTAGACTTGTGGTTGCATTTGGTACATCGAATGATTAGTAAGGAGCATAGACCCTGGGGCTGAGTACAGTCCCCTTCAATAACAATACCACCTGTATATAGAAAAAAAAATTTAGCGTAATTTGCAATTCACTTTATCAGTATACGCACTGCAAATTATAATTTTTAAATAAAATATATAATCATTAAATAATAAATATATTTATAAATTCAATTAAAAACATATTTACCATACTGTAAAGTTTCATAATTGTGAGGAGGATATCTAAAAAATCAGCTCAAATTTGCGCAGAAAATCGCTAGGAAAATAGGTGCATAAATGCATTGGTTATATATTAAGGTTTGTTCGAAGCCTAATTTTCGGCAAAATCTGCACAGAAATTGCCCCATATTTTCCGAAATGCTCAGATGGATTTCAAGGCCAAATTTGTGTGCGGAGGAAATATTCCCCACGCAGGCCTTCCTATACGGTCTGGCATATTTATAGGTTACATATTTTGCACATAAGCAATAACATCTCACCTTTTTTACATTTGTGGGCAACTGCCAATGCAGCATTCAAGCACTCCAGGTCTATTAGTCTGTAACGAGTTTGGTGGTAAAATTTGACTTTTCAAATTCAGTTCCTGACTTAGAATGCTTTAGCTTCTTTTCAGATATACTCTCATTGAAATTCTCTTCTTGGGATGCATCAGGTGGAGTAATATCAACATTAGTGCTAGGCCCAGCAGTACCACTTCCTTCCAGGTCAGAGAGGTCACACTGTAGTAGTGCAGCATCATAAACTGGGCCCTGTATAACTACGGTAACTACACCCTCCTCTAGGCATAGGCCTACAAATTTCTTGGTCATTTCATATGTTGGAATGCCTTTAAAAGTACATCTCTTACTTCTCTTTGGCATTTTACCAATGTATACCTCTCAAAATGATGTTCAAACAATTGATAAAATATGTCAAATACTAGTAAATCAACAATCAAAATCTGGGTCACATGAACATGTCAATACACAAGCTACAATAGTACCATATTGTTATGTAATTAAGAAAGGCCATATTCTAAACAAAGAGGGCAGACTGCACTCTTGTTCCCTGTCTTAGACTAAAGCTGGATTTGTATGAATAGCAATTTTGAGTGAATACGATACCATTTTTGAAAGATATTTTGGAACTTTTAATCACTTCCGGTTTCAAAAACAGCACTTATAAACTACCTATTTCTTCAATAATTTTTTTTTTTTTTTTTTTGGTAAATTACTGTACTTGCCACCTTAACTGTATTTTATTATACAGTACTATTATTTTGCATTACTTTTAAAATTAATCGCATGAAAGTTATTCTCTAACTCTGTCATGATAAAAAGAAAAACACACGAACATCAATGCTGACATGTCAGTTAATCGCCAGATTCAAACGGCTGAAATAAATGACGAGACGTCGTCAAAAACCCCAGAAAATAAACTACAACTCTGAAAGGTAACTTACACTCTTTTTCTTACTTTTAAAATTGTTATTTATAAACTATTTGCTGTATCAATTTTATCAATTGTACATTCATAATGAGTATTTTTAAATGATGAGCAGAAATAAATGAAATAGACATCAAAAAGGCAACACAAAATTACATCTTACCTGTTGCGGTAGTTCGCTGATTAAATACTGTGCAAACTTTTGAAGTTGGTCGCGGTGGAGACGCGATAACGATTCTGAGACCGGTGCACGTAGACAGACATTTTCAGCGTTGATTATACGATACAAACACAGCGCAACGACGTGCGAGCACCACTTGCCAGTTAACGTGCAGGTGCAACTGCATGTTGTTATGCATCGTTTGTAAAATGTTATTGCCACGTTAAAAGTATCTTTCATTGATAGTGCTGATGAAGGACCAATGGTTCCGCTGAGGTGAAAACCTGCATAAGAAATTAATTACGAATTCATTGTAAATGAAAATTGCGTACTGTGCATATACCCGAGTCGGGTCCTCTGCCAGTTTTTATTCAGATTCAGATTTCTGAATAATTACTCATTCTATTCACTATTACACAGTACAATGAGTTCTATTTTTAAAATAATCTAGAATTGCTTTTGTGCAATAAAAAAATAATTTAAATATATAAAGTGTAGTGTACAGTAATTGTAAATCTTAGCTCTCAAAGTAAAAACCACTGTGATTTTGTCAGCAGATCTCATCAATGACGGCTATGTGTCCTCCGGAGAAGACGACTACTACGACAGCAATCAGTGCACAATAAATGGTATTTTTTGTGAAAAACTGCAAAACAGTGAGTACTGTTACTTTAAAGTAGTAGGTCTCCTTTCCTTATATAGTATCTTCCTACATTTTTTTGAAGGTATCAGCATAATATGCAACATAACAGTGGCAATGTACATACACATACATATTTAATTTCAAAATCATGTTTATGCTAGAAATGTAAGTACTTAAGTAGACTATCAGAGTAAATGAGATATGTGGAAAGATTGTTAGTGGATGTCTAATTAATCAATATAGGGGTTGTAATTAATGCAATACTTTAGTGCATTACTTGGGCTACAGCATGTACAGTATTATAATACCTGTATAAATTATATATGGCAAACACACAGGAAAAATCAAAACACTTTTTCCACACTAACCGATTTGTAGGACTTCCTTCACAGCTTTATTCTTCAGCAAAAGCTCACCCTTCTGAAATTCTTCTGGGCTTCCATTAGCTAAGCAGGAATACAATCTTAAACATTAAAAAAAATATGTAATAAAAAATTAATATTTATTAAAATTTCAAGCAAGTCAGGGTTCAGGGTAAGGATATTTGAGATAAACACCCTGTGAAGCATAGCAAATTTATTTTTTTATTTTTTAAATTTATTTATATATTCTATTTCCACCAACAGCGCAGAATTACAGTACAGGTAAGAAAAAGGTAAAATACAGTTAATACAAATCTACTCAAAATTTAGGGGTGTTGGACTTAAATTACTATTTTATAGAGTAGGCCTGCGTCAAAAAAAGGTGACCTCTTTTTATCAATCTTGTATTATATTTTTTCTCCTTAGTGGCCCAGGCCCTAAAGTACTGTAGGCCTATTGTATGCCTCCAGTGCACTTCCCCAGCCTATAGTACTCCTCTTGGCACTACTAAGTTAGAAAGGCAATGGAAATTTTCCAAATGTAAAACGTATTTAATTTATGTATCGATTTTCATGTCGGACCCTTTTGTGGCCAATAAAGAATATTGACTAGATCATTACCGTATATCATCTTCATTTTCAGGGAAGCTCCAGAATGAGATACGAAGCTGTAAGTTTTCCGGAACAGGTGGATAGACATTCTCTACTACCTCAAATGGAATGTGGAAGGCTACCGTCCTGGCAGCGAGTTCAACCAATGGAAGCACTTCTATAAAATATAAATCAATTAAAAATTCATTGCATAAACTGATAGTCATAAAAGGTATGGTTTGAATACTTGTCATAAGCTAGAAAAATATAAGTTCACATCAAAACAGATGATGACTAGACATAGATTTAAAGCGATTAAGAGTTTAAAATTAACCGCCTGAAACTAATTAGAAAAAGAATCAAGTTAAAATTATTAAGAATGCGAGCATAACAGTTTACTGTATATCTTCCTCAGTTTAAATAACTAATTAACTAAATTTAGAGTATACAAAACCATTAAAATTATAGTTACTGAACTTATGTACTGGAACATCAGGATCAAAGAATTTACAAAATATTTACAATTACAGTTGCCTGGCCATAGCAAATGGTGGGAAGTTGTTATGGATATTTCAAAAAAAAAGAAACAAAAAAAAAAAGAAAAAGAAAAAATTGATTACCCGAAATGTCCGAGGTTATTTTCGGGCGTCTAGAACACAAAAATTTCACGGGGCATGACCCGGATCCTCTAATGTAGTATTATCAAAGAACTTAAATAGCAGAAGAATGAGCTGCTCCGCGTATTTGCATTAAAATCGATGGCACATTCGCCCTTCTGTGGTTGCAGTAAAATTTGAACATTTTACTAAGTGGAGAAACTAAAGGAAACAAGCGAACAGGAGCAGCGCCTTCATTATTTTTATATAGCGCCGCCGCGCGGTTGCAGTAAAATTGCTCTCCGTGTACCCACAATGCCTTTTGAACGGATGTTCCACTATATTGGGAAGCTGCTCTATCTTCTGCTATTTATCATCTTTGGTATTATCTCGATTGCCCCATCTCTCAGGGCACCCCCACGCCCCCTTTTTGGACATCTCTGAATCCGCCTCTGCTACTGAAAAGATTTTTTGGTTTTTCTATATTTAAAAAATAAAAACCTCATTTGACATTTTAACTTTTTAAGCAACTATTTCAGCCTCAGTGTTCCAATACAAAATTTGTTCTTATAAAATAAAAAAAAAAGCGTAGTATAAGAACGTTTCCATCCACCTCAATTTGTGGTTAAATAGGTACTGTACTGTAATCTCTGTAGTGTAAAGGAAACTCAACAATGGTTATTAAGCATTATATTGTTTAAGGAGAAACTACACAGCCTGTTCAGTACTCTACTTTCTTGTGGTTAGATTAAATTTGTACAGGTGTATTAAGGGCATCAGTCCTTGAAACTGTATTAGCCTATAATAGGCATATGGTTTGTGTGGTTAAAATAAATGTTTTATGTACAGTATTATTTTAAAAGCCATAGCTGTACAACAATGACCAAAACAAACTAAAAAATATAATGAAGTTCAATTCAACACAGGTACAAAATACTGTATTTTAGTTGACTTTAATTAATTATAAATTTTCAATTCTAAAAATGTATTACTGCCTTTTAGGCCAGCCTTTCAAATAGACCAGAGTGCATTATGCCTTGCAAATAAAATTTAAAAAAAGACAATTACTTTTTGGTATTAGTATAGTACTGTAGTAATTAATATATTCATATATATTCAAGGTCTTTATTCAGATAAAAAATTACAGACGGACAGCCAAAAGGCTGCATATGAATGTATTACAAAAATCACTATACAATTAAAAACACCAAAATTTAAGAAATTCACAACACAAAGAAAAGAAAAAAAAAAAACAGGGATGAGAAGCACAGCACCAAACAAAAAACCAAGTTAAAAAGATAACTAGCTATAGCGCATTAACTACTGCAGGACTCAATGTGTAGTGACGTGCGCAAAAAAATAATTTTTCATACAGCTACAGAATTTGAACAAAATAAAGCACAGAATTTAAGCATGAAGTGTATGCCTACTACTGTATATGCTGTTGGTTTTTTTTTGTTTATAGGATAATTATACTGTATAAGCCTATTATTAATTATTTTAATTCTTGTTGACAGTCATCATTTTAATATTAAATGTCTGGTAAATTAAAATGACAGGTTACTAATTTGTGAAAAGCTTGTTTTAAATGCCGCTGCTTAATGGTATTCCCTATTCAACCTCATAATTATTGCGGACAATATGTTTTTGACCATGTTCTTTTGTGTTCATGATCACCTATCAAGTTCAAGTACATGGTGACAAAGGTGTAGGTCAAGGAAAAATCAAGGTCACAACCTAATTAATCGAGTTTTCACTCAAGCATGAAACAAAAATGGCCAGATGTTTTATGCAATAAAAAAGTAATTACTTCATGCAAGGTAAAAATAGTTGCATAGAGATAATTATGCTAATTACTTAAACCAAGCATTGCAGTATATATATAAAGACACTGCTATGTATTATGTGGATGTACTGTACTGTATGTTGTTCTACAGCAAATTTAATATAAAGTAGAACCCTTTCTTGACTGATAGCCCACCAAAACTTATAGCCCACAGACTATCTTTTACGATCTAATTACCTGTAGGAAAAAATGTTTATATTTCTATTAGGCAATATGAGTAGGGTAGCCAACAGCGTTCAACATGTATTATTGTTGGTTAATTACTAATTATTTAGTATGGATGGGTATTAATTGATTAAATATTTAGTTTCTTTTTCATCAATTATAATTAATATTTTATCTTGAATATGGTAAACAAATTAAATAATTAATTAAATTGCTGTCATAATAATAGGCCCTATAGTTAATTGTATTTGTTATGTGGCATATCAAATTTACAGTCTAATTTTTTAGCTCACACTTGTATCTGAAACGAGATTATTTTACCTTGTTTCGCGAATACATTTTTTCAAAGATTGTCAGGAGGGCGGCAAAAAAAAAATGTAAAATAAAATTTTGTTTTTTTCCTGAGATGGGAGAACATTAAAGCAAAATATTATTGGTGAATGTAAACAGTGTAGTAATGGGATGGTTAACTGCTTTAAATTTATATAATTATTAGGAAGAAAAATATACATATTATTTTTGGAGACTTCAAGGCAGCGGTGGGTGCAATAAAAATAAACACTTTTATTTTTTTCTGAAATTTCCCTTTTTTTCAGCGGTGGGTGTGCTAATTAGCCAAAAATTTAATTTTATTTTCATTTGAAATCATCATTATTGCCGGGTGGTGGGTTTGGTAAATAAGGTATAAAAAAAAGCCTGGCCTTACAGCAACATGTTCGTTTAAATCCGATGACACTGGATTTTTCTAGACATCTGCCTTTCCCTTGTCTACATAATATCCTGGATCTGTGCCTATGTTTCTAATTATTTACAGGAAGTATTTTCCACTTTAAATTTAATTCCCTTACATCTAGACTAATCTATAATAACTGCATTAAAAACCATAGATTTATGAATTACAGTGCTATAAATTACATTGAAAAACAAAACAATTAAATAATAAAAGTGAAGTAGTAAAAGCATAACAAATGTAAACAAATAAAATTATACATACTGTACACAATTCTATATTTAAATTTTTAATTAAAAAAAATGTGATTCAAATATAGTCTGTTATTTTAACTTTTTACAGAATTCAATGATTATATTTTTGGGCCTAAAGTGTAGGCCTAGGACTAGAGTAAATCACACTTTCCACACAAGGCATCGACATTGTTGTATTGAAATTGTTTGTTGTAGTACAGTAGGAATACAACAAGGTGAAGTTGAGGTAGGAGTAGTTAAAAATCTTTATATTATAATACGTCTTAAATCGATAAAGTAAACTGGGTCTTTGTTGTCCAGGCCCTAGTAGGAAGGCCTAGTAGTATACAGGCAGGAGAACAAACATCAAGGTGAGCTTGACTGAAGGACAAAAACTCAAAAATGCCCTACCATTGGCAATGACCAACTTTGGTCATTCATTTCTATCTGCATGTTAAACTGTAAACAGAAATAACCTATTGTTATTAGTTATTAACATTCGTTAATTACCATCACAGGTTTCGGATGGAGCTGCCGCTGGCTGAGATGTAGTGGGTGATCCCCCGGTTGCACCTTTCTTCCAACCTCGCCAGTTGTTGCATATACTTTCTGTTTCACTCAACCAAGAACAAAGCGAGTCCTCTTCAAAACGGTCACTATCCTCAAAAGAAAACCGGTCGCCATCTTCCCAATCAAACATAAACTCCATCTCAAGATGTATCTGTATATATTTAAAATCAAATTTGTTTCAACAGAGAACAAAGAAGCGTAGGTAGGCCAACCAAGCTCGAGGCCTTCCTTCGTCGGTTCCTTGGTTGATGTGTCAGACCAGCTGATCGGGAATGGGCCAGGCGACAAAAGAAATCGCCTGAATGAAATTCCGCAGTGAATTAGACTAAAATTACACCGGTAAACGGTTTAAAATCATTGAATAAACGTTTTAATTCCATTAAAACATATTCGAAAATCCAAGCATGACTTTACATGAGAAAAACATGAACATGGAACAAACAATTCACTTCAGGCAATGTTAAAACCCCACACACTGACAATACTACACTTTGTGTTCGCGAACACCTCTCTACCAAAACAATAACAATATGGCACCTGATAACTTCGGACTTTATCGGAAACTCTCGACAAAATCGATTTGGATTCTATCGATGTTTCAAATATTACACCGCAACTAAAAATTAAAATGTGGTCTCTTTAAGGTCTACCATCATAGTTATAATATCTCTTTTACGAGTTATTTTTTATGTAATCAAAAGCATGCAAATAATTTTAATAACTTTTTATTTATGTTAGGAATAATAAAACAGTACCAGTAACTGTTGCCAGAGAGTAAAAATCAGGAAGGTAAGCTGAGAAGAAAATTGACTAGCGCCACCAATTATATTCTACAATTATCGTACTGTAGTAGCGTTCTCCGCGATTTCTCGTGCAAATAATAACGCAGTGTAGGACACACTCTTGTAATTACAATTTACTTTTGAGCTTTGACAAAATATACTGTAATAACTAGTAAGGAAAGTAAAAGTGTTGCGCAACAAATTTACCTCATCCAAGTAGTGTAGTGGGTCTATTTGATCATCACGTTTTATTCTTATTACAGGTCTCCCTCCAAAAAAAGACCACTTTTGGGACCGGGGTTTCCACTTTTTTTTAGTAGATTTGGTATCTCATTAGAATAATAAAGATAAAAGAAATTTGTTAATTTGGGACCACAGGACAGTAGTCTTTAACGTGGTCCTTAATTGGAGGGGTCTTTCATGGAGGGAGACGTTTATTATATTTTCATGTTAAGTTCATCTTGTTTTCTTTTCAGTTCAACTGAACTTGTATAAATGCCATATCTTGTTTAAATTTCAAATAGAAATATACTATCTACAACAACAGCTAGTACCCTATCTATAAAGCGTAGATTCGTTTCATATTAAACGAGTTCTACGTATTAAACGGATATTAAATTGCGCCGCGCAAATAGGCCTATATGTATTATTTTTATTAATAATTTACAGTTAGACTATATCGAATGCTCGTATAAATAATCTTAATTACATACATTAGGTATAGGCTAAGTACTGTATACTAACCTTGTATAATTTTAAATTTCTATCATCAACTTATAATAATATAATAATAATATAGAATTATATAGTGCCTTCATCATACCGCCGCGGCATCATTGGTACTATATTTTTTATTAATATTTATTTACTGCTATTATTATTTTTATTGTTGAATTTTATTGTTATCATTTTTTTAATTCAATGATATTGTTATTCTGATTGTTGTAATTTTGTTAACAGTGCTGCCGTAATTCTTACTGTGACTGTTTTTATAATTACTATCTTTTTAAACTTTATTAATAATGCTCTCCTTGTTAGTGTTTTTTTGAAGATTTGCATGGCGAAGTAATGAGGTACACCACGTAGAAATTCGGAAAAGAACTGTTGTTTGTTAAAAACGCCTCGACGTTTCAATTGAGTTGGCACTGTCTGACTGTTTTACTGTCCTAGACTTTCGTGGGCTATTCTAGGTGTTTACACCGAATAAAACCAATCCAATCCAATCCATAGTCCGATTTTGTTATGTTATAAGAATTTATATTCATTCGATAGCGTATATCTTTTCTATTTTATCGGAATATTTTATATTTGTTTGTTGATCGGGCCCCTTAATATCAGCTCTCCACTAATGGTGAGTAACACGGGCTATCCTCAATAAATAATGTTTAAATAAATAAACTTAAATCACAGAAGGAAGAAGTATGTACGAGTAGTGTTTACTGTGTGGTCATATAATACTTTTTCATTTCTGTTTTAACCGAGCACGTCCGTGTGTGTCTTAATAACACGTCGTCATTTATTGAATAGTTTATTGTTGTATATAAATACTAGGACAATTGATTGCCTGAAAATAACCATAAAATAAAGCTATTTAATCCATACGATTTCTTGGTTAGTTTCGACTGGAATTGCTAGTAATACTGTAATAAGAAACCGCTAAACGTACGTAGACACGCCATCGAGATTCAATATATTTCAATTCTACGTCATTTTCACGATTGTATATACAGGGCAGCTAGTATGGTCCGAGGGGGCGGGTTGGATGGCCACTTTATCTCTAAGCTCCGGGTTTTAGCTATATTTTAGTGATTTCATAATGTAATATTTAATGTATATTTATCGTATTTTATTGTATTTAGCTATTAATACAATCTCTGTATTCGAATATATTTTTACTATGTAACCACTATTGAATGCACCGCAACTACACTAGTGCCAGTGCTACAAACGTATGTAATGTAGGCCTATATTTAATAAACATTATTGTTGTTGTTGTTGTTATTATTATTATTATTACTATTATACTGCAGATGTTTGCTGTAGGAGACTGGAGAACCCCTCGTTCGCAGATACAACTATACATTTTATTATATTCCAGGTCTAAGTACAACAGCAATTCCCGACCGACCACATCGACGATACAGGACTCAGCTACAGTGCACTATAATATTAGGTCGACATATTTCATTTTGGCTACCATAATTGATAGGTTAATATAGGTTCGTGTGTAATGATTTTATAAATGCATTGATGTTTAGTACTGTATCTTTAAAATTACCGTAACTGACTATGATCACATTAAATTTTAAAATAAATTAAATTTTAAGATCTAAAAATTACGCTTATTGACGGACCTATTTACAAACATGAAATAGTTGTTATAAAGCCCGATTTTCTGTAACTGTAGATATTGTACAGTTAGTCTGTCAAATTCGAAACATTTAATTTTCTCAGGTTTTCGATTAGTTTTATTTTTTTTTTGATTTTGTAATCCTTCAATTATGTGCAAGTGATTTTTATGCGCAGCAGCTGAATTGAGATTACCTGAATTGTATGTAATGCGTTTGAGTTCAAGAACAAGAAAGCTCACAATCTGTAGGCCATAGTAGCCTATGTCAATACATAACACCGGCTTTATAAAAAGGATTATAAGATGAAAAATTGATAATCTTATTTTTGTAGTAAATACTATGTCCACGTTTTAATTAATGTCATTTATTAAATAATATACCGTATATACATTACAGTAGTATTTATATTTATAGTACAGTATTGTTTAAATAAGAAATACTACTTCTATGTTTCAAATATCATTTGTTAGTTGCATGCAAATTGAATAGTGTATGGTTTGTATTGCAAGAAATTTCAATGTGAAACAAATGATTATAGTGTAGGTGTAGGCATATAGGCTTGAGGTCTCACCGGAAATTTGATCAGCAAACAAAATGACAAATATGTCATCCAGCCTTAAGATGAATTCAAAACACCAAACCTAGCACCCCTTTCTTTCCTACTGCACAACACCCTTCCTCTCCCCTTCACACACCTGTATAATACTTCACCATTTTATGGGCCATGTACAGCACCCTTCTTACAAGATAAATCAAAATGCCACTCAATTTTTTATACTATACAATAGTTGGAAATCAAGTATGGGACACCAATTAAATAAGGTGAGGTGCGAACTACATGCAATATTTAGGGCCTGAAACCCAGGCTACCCTTTAGATATATGCTACTACTGCTCTTTTTAATGTGCTCACTGGAAATCAGGAATTGGGTGAAAATAATAGCACAAAAACCGAGTCATGTTTTGAAGTCAAGATCGCAGCCAAATATAGCTTAAAGTGAGTGATGTAAAAAAATACAATGTGTACAGTGTTTGTAAACTTGCTGAGAGGTAATTTGCAGTGCTATGATTATTCTCAAGATGTTCTATTTTTGAACAGGACCCTATGCTGCCCAGGCCCAAAAAAAGGTCTGGGCGTAATAACAGAAGTTGTGGCCTTTTGGTATTCAGATATAAACTACTACTTTATCACAATTTTCCCATCACTCCTCTCTTTATCTATTTTTGTCACCCTACAGGCACAGGCTCCCACCTTATTGATACAGAGCTCCAGGGCACTCACACTGGATGAGAAAAAGTGAATGTTCCGTAGGTATTTTTGGGGGAAAAAATTAAACAAAATGGGGTATATAGTGTACTGGAGGCATTCTATGAAGACAATTTCCATGGAAGGAGGAACAAATACTTTCTTTCCCATTGCCTAGTCACACTGGCTGTCCCCACCCCCCACTCTGCACTACTGCTATTTGTAAACACAACAAATAATACATTACAAGAGCATTTGGTTCTCATACAGCAGTTTTAATTACATGACTGAATGTACCAAATCACACATATGATATACAACTATTATCACATCTCAACTTCTACAATCGACGTCCTCGTCGTCCACCCTTTCTGCGGGTACTGTCTGATGGAATGGGAGTAACATCCTCTGTAAGATAACAAAAGAATGTGGATAAAAAAAATTGTAATTTTATTGACCGAAAAAATTCATCGGTTTTCATTATTTTATTTTTATTTTATTTTATTTCAATTACATCCAACAGCGGAATTGCCCATTACAGGAAGTCTTAAACATACAATATATAAAATATAGTAAAATACAAACAAAAAGGAAGCAAATCAACAATAAAGAGAGTTAGGCATTAGGTATTTGATATGAAATTCCTTTTAAGTTCTACAGTACTTTGAAAATTGGTGGCACCAGTCAACATCGACTGAAGAAAGTAGTAACCAATTAAAGCCACATTCATACTGATGAGGCTGACTGGTACAGTAGTCAGCTAAACTGTTTACGGTTAAATAAAAAGTAAGCAAATTAGGTATTATTTAAAAGGAATTTCATATCAAATAGAATTTTATTATTGTTCAATGGACCATTCCGCTAAGAACCGCCGATTGCATATTTTTGCTAAGGTCCCAGAAGAACAGCATTTGTGCATTTGCGGAAGAACACGTATTTGTTGGACACGTGTTTACTCTTCGCACTGTTCTGACTGGTTAGTTGTTAAATTTGACCGACACTCCAGAAAAGGTCTAGTATAGTGATTATTTAATTGATCATTCAATTATAAAAATATAAATCATTTCGTGAATAGATGGAGGAATATTTCCACACAGAATGTTTATGAATTTATTTATAACATAATTGCATTAATCACAGCATTTACATCAATTATACAATTCTTGTAGTAAGTTCTTGATAATCAATTGGAAAGAATTTCTTCATTTTTATCTGTGTCTCATTAGATTATACTTATTTGATCCTATTACATATGCACTTCATAATTCCATTTTGTTCAAAAGTTTTTACATAATTTTTATTTAGACACTTTATCTGAAACACTAGACTGTTATTAGACGTTTAAACTTACCGATACGTCCGATCTTCATGCCAGACCTTGCTAGAGCTCTCAGGGCTGATTGAGCACCTGGACCAGGAGTCTTTGTTCTGATGAAAATTAAAATAATATTAAATATACTCTATTTATCAAACAGAAAAACACCCCACTTGGAATAAATGCAACCTCAATTCACTTAACCTTTTTTCCTCTATAGACCATTTTAAAATCAGATTTATTATGAAACAGCGCTGCCAACATCTCACAACTCACTGGGGGACTTCCAGCGGCCTAGCCTGAGCAGCTGGGTTACAAATAGAGCACCACGCAGCGGAAAGCACCGCTAGACATTTGCTACAGTATAGCAGAAGTAGACAATGGATACGATCTTGCTAATTACTGTAATTGCCATATATGTAAACATTAAAATAGCTTTTTAGGACTTAGACTTGTTCTTAGTATAAATATTTCATGTTTTTTCAGTTTTGAAATATTTGTGCTCGTTAGTGATTTAGTTTTATCATTGATTTAATCCATGATGATAACTACGTAGAGAGAAATGCTAGGCCTCTGAGAGTCCCCCAGTGGTTGTTGCCAGGTCATCGGAAATTTTCATTTCAAATTTCGTGAAAATGGTCTACAGTATAAATGCCCCACCAAATGGCTTTATATATTTGAAGAAACATTTACAGTATACACATTACAGTAGATTATTCTATATAAACAGACTTTGAATAGTAATTGATTTAGCTTATTTAGTTACTGTAGTTATTTATTTTATTTATTCAACAATATTTTTGGGTAGCACTTTCCACATTGCCGACATCAAGGGCCCATTCAAACACATCAATGACAAAACAATATAAAAAGTATTAAGGAAAAATAGAATGAAAGCAATAAGAAACATGAGTATATAAAAGGAGATAACAGTTGTACGGTAGGTACTTCAAAAGTAAACAGTCTTTGTTTGATAGAATTATTAAAGTATTTTCCATTAAGTTAAACCACTGAATAACACACATTACACACATTTGCTTTTCACTGACTCAATACAGAAAATGTATATTTAATGGAAAGGCAACTCTCAAATGTATTTATTTATTTTATTTTATTTACAAAACAACATGTAGTCAGTCCACCAAAGTCAAAGGAAATTGGGGAACGGAAAAATCGCACCACTGGCAATTAAACAACCACAAGGTACATCAACATAATGTGTGGAAGAATGGATGAAGTTGCAAGGAAAAGCAGCGACAAACATCTTCATGCTATTTAGACACCATGAAAAATGGGTTCTACACCGTTAAATAGGAGTTTGCCATCCTGGAAAATTCACTAGTACAGTAACCATCTCCCAATTATGTACCCCTCCGTCCGAACAGAGTTCGAAAATGAGAAAATTCATAATTCAAAGAGAGTTTGAATTTTCAACATCTCAGTGTAGTGAGGGTAATCCTTGGCCATGATACAAAGTACAGGGCTAGGTAGGCCTAAGCCTTGCCATGGGAGAAAAATTTCGTCACGATATATGACTTGGATTTTACTGTTTTCTGCAACAAAATAATACTTTACACAAGCCAAGATTACTTGCTCACTGTGGAGTATTTATTTGAATTATTTCCAAATGGAAACATGACCATAAATGCCCAAAACGAGTGTTATTATTCTTTTCATAAAGATAGCGAATCCATGTGAATAGTGACCCCAATGTTCAAAAAGCTAGATTTACTGTCAGTATGCCTGAACAAGTATGCACAGTTCAAATATAATGTACAGTATCTCGGCTGAAAACGATTGATATTTCTTGCTTTAAACATAGGTTTATATCAATTTATTTGTTTGAATGTTTTCTCCCTTAGCTGATTTAACAATTTAAATTATTTCTGAAGACTTTTAAATACATTTTAAAGTGTTTTTGTGGTTAAAAATGATAGTTCATAATGACGTCAACACTGCAAATTCGGTTCATAAAATCGAGAGTTTGTAAATGTGACGTTCGTGATTGGGAGATGTTACTGTATTACCATCAGGAACTGCCACAGGCAAGGTATTCCATATAGGGAACGAATACACATCTTTTCAGCCTGGGGAACTGATTGCAAGCTAAAACAAAATGGAAGGTGTTTGAAGTAGAAAGGACACCTACTTGTTACCACCAGTAGCCCTGAGTTTAATGTGAAGTGCAGTAATCCCTATTTCTTTGCATCTAGCTGCAACATCTTGAGCTGCCAACATAGCAGCATACGGAGAAGCTTCATCACGGTCGGCTTTCACCTTCATACCGCCAGTCACACGGCAGATGGTTTCCCTGGGTAAGACAAATTCACGATTAGTACAATTTGCAATTCAACTTCATAATATGGACGCAAACTGCTAAATTTTATGTAACAAGTCAAGTTTGTTTACACAGTACAAGCCAT